CGCGATCGGTCCCGTCAGTTGCATGCATGATTAAATTGACGAGTGTTTTTCCCCCTTCTTTGGTAGAAAAGGATTGATTGAGGATTATTTCCTCTTCGTGATTGATATGTGAACTGACAAGTACCCTCCGATCGGGCGTCAGCCTCCCGTACCTCCTGTACCCACACGACCTTTTCCCTACAACGAGGAAAGGATACGTGTATGCGAGTGGGACATACGAGAAGCTGTCGCACAGATCGGCGGACGATACTACTTCCCCCCGGCAAACCGTTGTTCGGGGTTCGTAGAGGCTGGGTTTGTTATTATCGACACACACTTCCCACCCTACTCAATATTGTTCCCCTTTAACGAACTAATCGTTATCCCGTGGACGGCAGTAGCGCCCCATTGGCCTCGGACCATGTGCACAGAGTGCCAGCGTTTCGATCACTACGAAGCGAAGGGCTTCCACTACCAAATACAGAGTGAGGACGAGCACAAGGAGAGAGCCATGCGTCTGTGACCCTCCTCATCAGACTTAGAACTGGCCAACGAACGACGACGGGACTTGATACGAAAACGAGACACGCGAAGCGTGCCGAAGCCCTTCCGCTCTAAACGACGGGCCGTAGCATGGTGGGAACCCTGACAATACTTCCTGGATTGAATTTGGATTTTTCTCTCTTCGCGCCTTGTCCGCCCGCGCATTCCACGACGCACGAAAACAATCGACTTGCTTCATCGGACCAACACGGGGGATTTCAGTTCCATCTATGTCCCCACACTCAATTTCAAAAAATCCTTGGCACACCCCATCTTGCTGTTTTTCTGGGCCTCTTTTCGCAAATTAACACTCCGAACGAAAGACAATATAGGGCCCGAGGTTGGTATCGGAGCCGACACGTGTCGGTTCTGATGATAGTAAGTCGAACTGGCGAGAGGTAGGAGAGACCCTCAACTAGCTCATCGGGATCGCCCAGTGACCAGGTCTCAGTCTAGTGCGGCTGCACCCGCAGTACCAATGGTGGACGGTACTAGGGTGATCGTTAGCATCCCTGAACCCTTCCCCTTCTTCCCGAACCATACCCATCCCGAGGCATGGCTAGAAGCTGTCGAAGCTCAAAACTACAGCGCAACCGATCTTCTCCGCGTTCTGACATTGCTACTCCGCAACACGTCGCATGAGTGGTTTATAAAATATACGTGGGTAAATTGGGTTACGTTCAAGCAAGCCTTTTTGGCTCGATTCGATACAGTTAGTGAAGATGCCGCCTCGTGCGTACTAAAAACTTGACCCCAAGGACCAAGGGAATTGTTGTCCGATTTCGTCGATCGGTTTCAAAACCACATTGGACAAATCCGGGCGGGATGAGAAATCCGCTCGAGATTTGTTCATCGAACACCTACGAAGTTCAACACCGAAAGGAAAATTACAGAAGAAGGTTCTGCCAAAAACGCACCAGTTATCGATTATCATCACTAAAGCATTGGAACTGGATCTGACTGATACAAAAAAATATACAACGAAAAAAATTCCCGGAGTTAAATAATCATTCTATGGTAAAATTACAATGTAAATTTCAAATTTTCATTCCATCTTAAAAAAATGTCATTCCAATTTTAAAATTTTTCATCTTACTTGCAAACTTTCATTCCAAGAACAGGGTATCCCTTCTTATTTGGACTGCATGCTAGAGATGGAATGAAAGTCTGGATGAGTTTATGAAATATTTTAATTGGAATGTAATTCTAAGTAAGGATTTTCAGTCATAAATAAGTTAATCCAATCTAAATTAGAAGATATTTGTTGTAGTAGAATGACAATTTAATTAAAACATCTCATAAACTCGTCTAGACTTTCATTCCATCTTGAACAAATAGATGTAGTTAGAAGGGAAATATCATATTTAGACGGAAACTTATCAAATAAAATTGAAAATTTTAAAATTGGATGAACATTGGAATTATTATTTATAAATAGGAAGGATTTTTTTTTAATATAATGTTTTTTCAACTTTTATTTCTCGTGGGAATTTTTCTGTTGTATCAGCCAGGGAGATGAAGACATTACAGATACAATACGTGATGTAACGACCAAAAGGCGATCATGGTTGCAGGCGGTCGAACGGCTTTATCCCCGCCCCGACCATGACCTTCCAGGTGGGATCGTTTTCAACATCCCGACTGCTTCTCCTCCCGCTCCCCCGGTGAATAAATTGATCGCAGCCGTAAGAACTGGAATCTCATCCGAACCCCCTTCGCCGGTCGTAACCAACCTACACCTGGCCCAGATGATCCACACGACCACTACCAAGCAGTCCGAATGGATGAGCAACTTGATCCAAATGTAGGCCGCTCATATGGAACGAATGGAACAGATAATGAGCCGACTCATTAAGCCTAACCCGGCACCTGCTTGGCCTGCCCCTGCTTCGTTTCCACTCTTACCTGCCCCGCCTGCTCCAGGGTTCGCGCCCCAGTTCCCTCATCTAACTAATCCAGCAGGAAAGATCGAATGCTTTAACTGCAAACAGCCTGGGCATTTCGCTTGAGACTGCCCGCAGCTGAAACGAAATCGGCCTCCCCCTGCAGCAGCCTCTGTAGCCCTGAATCAAGGACGAGTGGCCACTTTGATGGATACAGCCCAGGAAGGAGAGCTCGTGGCATATGCCCCAGAGCAGCTTTCCCCCTCGACGACAATACTGTCGACATCAGGAGCTTCTCCCTCTAACGTTGCGGACGCGGTCGATCCATTCGAATATCTTCATCTTGCAGGCATGGTCGGAGCAATCCGGTCGGCCCCTGATGTTCTCGAATGGGTGGATCGCGAATCCAATCCTGGTCCGCGGTTTCGAACAGGAGAGATCGACGTGCTAAAAGCACTCAAACAATTAGACATTCGCGTTCCGATCCCGGTGGGACATCTGCTCACCATATATGAAGTGGCGAACGATAAGTTTCTACAACATTACCAGAAAAATCAAAAGCGTTTCACCTATCAACGTATACAACGAATGTTGAAGAAGAAAGAAGAAAGCGAGGAAGTTGCACCCCCTGAGCCTGACACGAAAGAACCGGAATCCGAAGCCGCACGTATAGCAGCGATCTCTTTAGTAGAAAAAAATCACTTCGTATGAGCTCGGCTGGTATTGTGGAAAAGTGCGGAATGTGATTGTGAAGTTTGGGACAAGCCGTTTAATACCCTTATTGACACAGGGTCTTCTGTCGTGGCCATATCATTGGATACTGTAAAAAAGACGGGACGACTGGGCTTCATTCTTCCTCAATCTGGCAAAGACAATTATGTCTCTGCCGACGAGGAGGCAATGAACATCGTAAGCATTATTGAGAACGTGGTTGTAAAAGTCGGGCGAGTACACGTCCTTGTTAACGCACTCGTAATAGATGTACGTTCCTATTCTGTGTTATTGGGATTACCTTGGGCGATGGCGGTAGGCGCACGTGTGCATTTCGACTCGAGACAATTGGTGCTCACACAAACTGGGGGAAAGCCTCAAACGGTCTCTTTGCGAGTTTCCACCCGAACGATAAAACGGGTCCCTAACTCGGCCCAAATTGGGACGATTCGATGCATTGATCCCGAGGAGTGCTCTCCCTCGGACATCAGTGATGGAATCAGGGAACAAGAATACGAAGAAAAGCTGCCCAGCGAAGATGAATGGAAGCACCTGGTTGAACTTTTCGAACACGAAAACCCCGAGGAATTTCAAGTGTGCCCCGACCCTGCTCGAAGTTTCCACGTGAATTCCGGAGATAGCGCGCTTGCGCCTCTGATAACTCAAGTTAGTCTGCCAGTCCTCCTCGGGGAACCCATATTGCAAGTTTCCGATCTGGCTTATGATTTGGAACTCCCTCGCATCTTGTACGAGGGAGCTCTCTCCTTACGAACGCGTTATCAGCAAAGGGAAGAGTATGTAGACGTTTCTGTTTTTCCACCCCGATTAAATAACAGGGCTAAACGACAAGAGTCACCATCGCCTTGATTAAACAAGAGGATGAAGCACCGATAAATAATGTACCTAATCTGATGCAAGAAATGGCGGATCTAACAGGGCTAACTGTGGAACCGACCTCGGTTGGTTCAGAAACTGACGCTGAAACTGAAAAAACAGAGATGATCAGCCATGCTGAGTCCCAGATGATAGTAACTGTCTTCTCTCTTCGCACCAGTAGTTCCGTTTTTTCTAGTGTCCATGATCGACGAGAACGGCCGGTTGATTGGATCGATATGCCCCTTAAGATTTCCGGGGAATCAACGATCACCTTGCCAGGTCACGTTCCCGCGCAACTTCGGAAATCGTTTATTCGTGTGTTAAATGGCTGCGAAGAAGTATTGAATATACACGATAACGACATCGGCTTAACTAATGTGATCGAGCATGCCATTCTCACGGGAAATCATCCACCCATTAGTTGCGCTCCCTACCGATACTCGCCAGCTCTAAGGGCGGCCGCTTTTTAGCGGATTAAGGAGTTCGAAGCTAATGGATGGATCGAACCCGCTATAGGTCCATGGTCTTTCCCTGTCGTGATCGTACCTAAAAAGTTTGGAGGGATTCGCATTTGCATTGATTATCGAAAGTTGAATGATATCACGATCAAAGATGTGTATCCCCTCCCCCGAATTGATGAGTTGTTGGATGCGATTGGGAGTGCTCGATTTTTCAGCAAAATTGATGTTCGCCATGGGTTTCATCATCTTCTTGTTCATGAGGAAGATCGTCCGAAAACAGCGTTCGTGCTTTTCGAAGGTACACGGCAGTGGATTCGATGTCCGATGGGTATCTGCAATGCCCCTGCGACCCTTCAGCGGGCCATGAACATGGCTTTTCAGAATTTCGTGAGGAAGACTCGTTTGACGCAGAGCATCATCAACTACTGTGTGATTGTGTACATGGATGACATCCTGGTGTATTTGAGTTCCTACGAGGGACACGTGCAGCACATCGATTGGGCACTGCATGCGTTACGAGATGCAGGTTTCAAAGTGGCGCTTGAGAAGTGTCAGTTTTTCCTCACCACCATCTCCTTCCTAGGCACGTGGTGACAGACGAGGGACTCCAACCGGAACCGCAGAAAATGGCGGCTGTCAGGGACGCGCCGGTGCCTACGACTATCACGCAAGTTCGCGCCTTTCTGGGCCTAGCCTCGTACTACCAACGATTTATCAAGGGCTTCGCGGCGATTGCGGGACCCCTCACAAATCTGCTGCGCAAGGATCAGCCGTTGATCTGGACGCCGGAATGCAATCAAGCGTTTTCCACACTCAAGGCCGCTCTCATTTCGGCTCTGGTCCTTATAAGACCGGATCCCGAAAAACCTTTTGTTCTCATCACTGACTGGCAGCCAGAGGCGATTTCGGCGATCCTTGCCCAAGTGGAACCAAGCGGACTCGAGAGTGTGGTGGAGTATGCGTCCAAATCAGTGCCCGCCTGCAAGCGCAACTACGCCGCTCCAACGGGTGAATGCTATGCGGCTCTCTGGGGAATCAGTCACTTTCGTGCTTACCTGTACGGGCGAAGATTCACCCTGGTGACTGATCATGAACCCCTGTTGGCTCTGAAGAAGTCGAAGGATTACTCGGGCATAATCGGGCGATGGGCAACGGTGCTGCAGAGCATGGACTTTGACATTCGTCACCGGAAGCACGAGAGACACGGGAATGCAGACGGACTGACACGGCTGCACCGGCTTGAGAAAGTTCCGAAGAATAAGGAGGTAATTCCATGGAACGAACCTAAACAGGAGGTTGGACCCCGATACGGCCAAGTGGAGATTTTGTCGACGCAATAAGTGACACGAGGACTAATTTATCTGTTCCACTCCCTCCACAAGTCAGTCCCATCTCTCCTCCTCTGTCATCATGACTACCCCACTCACCTCCGCAACCCCTTCATCTCCTACTAATTTTGCCCCTCTCACGTCCTCCGCTTTCTTCGCCACCCTCCCCGATAAATTCTTTTATTTTTGCACGTGTATAGCACGAGTTTATGAGGTCGACTGTCATCCTTTCGAGACCGGGTTTGTCGATTGGGTAGAATGTGCCACGTGTGTCAACCGTGCGCATGGGGCCTGTGTTCGATATCGGACGAGTAGCAAGGAATGGAGGTGCCCCCTGTGTAGAACGAACAAGCTCCCTACGGATGTTCGATTCGAGCCCGCCCGTACGGACGGCCCTGAATACGACGAAAAATATCGACGAGCGGAGGTTTGGACAGATAAAATTTTATTAGCAAAATTAGCGGGATTATCGTTGGGCCACCTCACCAAGCACGACATACGTAGGGCAACCGAGAGATCTCGGGACTATCGATGGATCAACGTCATTTGGAAAAGTGTAAAACTGACGGATCAGATTCGTGGTTGACGGTTTCCCATCCATTCCAGAGATATGATTGGATCCGATCTGCTATCGAAGAACAGGCCGCTTATTTTGCAATACGTATCACAGAAGCAACTGTAGACCAGAACCGATGGTTCTGGTCCAATATACGAGATGACGTCAAGTACATTGTCGCTAACTGTCTGGTCTGTGCCATTGATCGCGCCCCTATACGGCGACCACACACGATCGTACCAACGGAAGTAGAGCGTCCTTTCCAGCGAGTCAGTATGGACACGACAGATATTGACGTGCCACCTAGCCCAAACCACTCAGAATATTCTATCCTGTTAGTTTTAATTGACCATTTTTTCAAATACATCGAAGTCTATCCCTGTAAGACCCGAAAGGCCACAGAAATAGCCACGTACATCGAACGATTCCTCTATACCCACCTAGATACGGAAGAAATTCTAACTGACAATGGGTCGGAATTCAAAGGTGAGGTAGAAGAACTGCTCGCGCGAAGGGGCGTCACACTCCGACATACGACACCCCACGTGTCCAAGTCGAACGGGTTGGCCGAGAATGTCAACCGTATGATTAAAACCGCCCTTCGCATGAACTTAGCGGCACACGACACGCGTCCTTGGCCCGAGATCGTATATCAGATCGTCGGGATCCACCGGGCCACCCCTCATGAATCTACGGGGTCTACCCCCTTTCAGCTTTGAACTAATAACCTCCCCTGTGTCGATTACCGGGGTAACTCGGAAATTGTCGAAGCAGGGGGTAGAGACACGCGTGCAGCTCTCAAGGCCAAGGTCAAAAGGTACAATGAGTTAGTGGAACGGGCCGTCCCGAAGCTGGCCGGAAAAAGGCAAAGGATGACCGAACTGGCCCACGGTAGACAGGTCCGTAGCTACGAGGCCCGGAATGGAAATGCTGGGACCCAGTACCAATATAAATTAGGGGACCTAGTGCAGGTACGTAAATGTGCACGTGACCGGAAACTCGCTCCCTCCCAAGTTCTCCGGCTATTTTCGCGTTGTCGAACTCGGACCCAACGGCGCCAACATGGTGCGCATCGCGCCTGAAGCTAGTGTCAGCCATAGCTCTGTCCCCATCATCCGGCATACCTCCTACCTCCGTCTTCTTCCTCCTTCTGAGCTTCCTCCCTTTTCTTCCTCGGAAAGCGAGCAGAACGACGACGATCTAACTCTCTCTCCTCTTTCTCCCTCTTGTCCTTCGTCCTCCTCTCCCACCTCGCCATGAGTTTTATCACGGAGCGGGTTCTTGACGCGCAGCTGTTGCAGCCGCGTGGCCACATCTCAGAGATTCGACAAGTTTGTCACCCTCGGCTCAATGCGGATCTTCGGCGTCTAATGCGATTCTCCTGCGACGAAGGTATCTGTGCTGCCGCCGCGTTTCGGATCGAAGAAAGTCCTCACGCAGTGGTATTCGCGGAGGTAACCGCAGTTCATCGGCGAGCGGGTCCAGGACGAGCCACGTCACCACGGTGGCGACATTCACCGGCGACATCAGCTCAGTCAATCTGCTGTGGCATACCGCAATCTTGACCTCGCTGCGTGAGTGGACGGAGCAAATGTCTTACCTGTGGCAGCACGTTCTCGTCCGATAGGGGTATAACATCATCCCGATCTTTACACCGGATCTAGACAATATTCGCCGATCACCGCGCGAGCGTCCAGTTGCGATCCCAACTCTCGCCCCCTTCCCACATCCCCAATGAACCACGCTGATCTTCTCGCTCCTCTCTCTATCTTTGGTCTTCCCTCTCTCTTCCCCACCTTCTGGCAGTCTGATCTTCATCCTTCTCTTTCCTTCTCGTTCGAGCCTCTTTCAGTCCCTCTTATCAATCCTGGATATTGGCGGTTGTGGCGCAAAACATTTGAGGAGTTGTCTTTCTGCCTGGCCAGAGTATAGGTGACGTGGACGGGTACTAGCGAGCATCCCACGTGGATCGAGAATCCGGAGCTGCTGATCATACAGGCTTGGAGGACTAACGTGGAAGGAGATCTTCTTGGCTTTCTCTTCGGATCGCTACGGCCGGGTCAACGCCACCTGATTGTGCAGGAGCTTATCGCACCGATCGTGCAATTGGCGGACGATCTCTCGCCCGACATCTACTTTCAGAGTGACGACAGTCCTGCTCCGTACATTTTCGAGCGATCATTGGACCCATACCTTCAGTGGACTGCGTGCTGTGAGGAACCTAGGGACGAGGATACGCTACCATCGCGACAGGAGTACCTGAAGCCGTACGAAATCATCCCTCACGCCTTCTATCCGAGGGCAGAGGAAGTGGTGATCGACGACGATGAAGAAGAAGACGACGACGAAGAAACATCGGAGGAGGGAAGCTATAGTGAACATAGCGAGGGCGAGCTGAGCAAAGGAGAAGAGGAGGAAGAGGAAACCGGGTCCGAGTGGGAAGCCTTGCCGGACGAAGCGACGCGCACAGGAACGGAGGCAGACGATCCGGAAGCGGAGCAAAAGCATGAACAAATTGCCACCGGGAAGCGCCAACTGGAGTTCGCCAGCCAAGCTAGCCTGCGCATCGGCAACGATCCGACCAGGGATCCAGAGCCGCCGAAGCCCGAAGATGGCGACCCTGCAGCCGCCACCTCAAGTACTGCGCAACGGAGACGGAGCCGATCCCCCTCCTCCCCCAGCCCCACCCGTCCCCCAGTTCCCCCACGTACCGATGCAACGTGGTAGAAGTTTACTGCATCGCCACGGGGACAATCCTCCCTTGCCGCCACTTCGAGATCTTTCAGGCGGCGCTCTTCCGCACCCTTTCCTCCTTCTATCGCGACTACCTCTCTTCCCTTCCCCGCACTGGCGATCATTTCCCCCACTTTCATCGGATCATCCGATATGAGGAGCTCCCGGTGACGATGGAAGGGATGAATCGCTTCCTACCCCCACTTCCTCCCCATCATCCCCGCGAGACCCCCTCCATGTACCGCCTCTACTCGCCTATTCCAACTAGGCGGTAGGCCCAAATCACATAACCCCCCCCCCCCCTCCTCTCCTCATCACCACGAATAAGTAAGCTTCGCAAAGATCCCGCCATCGACTATGACGTCAACCTACGCTCTGATTCGACGAGCGGCAACGAGCTGGGGTGCAGAGCACACGGAGATCAGGCGGACCGTGATGGCGTCACCTGGACGATCTCTACAGGGCAGGGGGTTGCATATGACAGTACCGCGGAGGTCTTGCCACGGATGTTGTCACCATCTCATTCGCGGCTCAGTTACCAGTCCTTGTGCTTCTTTCTGGAGCTCTGATTGATGTGTTTGGTTACTCATGGATCACTCTGTTCCGCCATCACATGCAATCAGGAGATCGCATAATTTTGGAACCCCCTACGCGTCACATATATGACGAACCACTTCCCGAACCCGTGCCATCTTTCGTACCCCTTCTCTTGCTTGTATCATACCAACCCCAGAAAAACCCTGTCTCGATTTCTTGTTTTCAGATGCCGCATTTTTCATTTTTCTGAAAGTTTTTTCGACTTCTGGGATCTGTATTTCCTTTTTGCAAGTCGGGAAATACATGGGAATTTACGTGCGCCTTAGCGAGCACACTGGGAATTGGGCTCGGCAGTTGGGAACTCCGGGATAAGCGGGACTTCGACGTGTCCTTTTCGAGTGTGTAAATGTTCTTGGCCGCATCGAGGAAAACTCTAGGAATTTTGCGTGAATACGAATAGGCGTAGGATTTTCTTTTCCCGCGTCGCTTTTTTGCGCGCGGATATGGTGATTTCAATTTTGAATTAGGAGAGAAGCAAGTCGTAACTGTTTCAGTGCCATTTTTTATTTTTTTTTTGACGGCGCCACGTATGCAGGGCTTTCTCCTCTCTGTCCCCAGCATCGCTCCCTCCCCTGCCTCCCTTCCCTTCTCCCTCCTTTTTCTCTCTCCCCGTAACTGTTTTTCTTCTCTCTCTCTCTCTCTCCCGCCCTGATTTTTGCGTGTCCATTCCCCTTTCTTGATCATCTGAATCTTGGACCGGTCTTGCGCTACTTCTCGTGCCTTTTCTCTTCTCACTCTCTGAGCCTGGCGCACGACGCCCGGTCGATCCATCGATAACTCCCACTCGCCAATCAGGTGCGCGGATCAATAGAACCTTCCTATTGCGCGGCGAATCTGATTGGTTGAGCCTTGAGTTTCGAGGGATCAACATGGCGTTCGTAGAGCACTCTTCTCAAAGTCTTCTCCTCCTGCTTCTCCTCTAACACCTCAGCTTTCCCGTCGACTTCTCCCCCTTCTATCTCCCYTGTCGCAACTATAAAACCCGCAAGCGCGTCCGCAAATCTCTCTTACGTTCTCGACTCTCAAGCCAGCTTCCGGGAAGCAGTGGCTAGGCAGAGTGCTTGAAGCGAGTCGGAAAGTCCTGTCGGGCTGACGATAGGCTAGTCGGTTGCGCGCTAGATCGCCACAACGGATGATGGCAGCGGGGTGACGATCGCAGTGGTGGGAATTAGCAAGCGGCGGCCAGGATCTTTGGTGCGGGTATGAGGATCGATGATCGGAGTTGAGTTGATTGGCCCGAGGCCATATTGGAATTAACGGCGAATGCGCCTTTGTTGCGGATTGTTATCTTTGGCGTGGGTGTACGGCGGCAACGCCGAACTTCTCTTTTTCCGGACCTTGTCATCTTCTATTTTGATTTTCTTTCCCTCTCTCTCTCTCTCTGTCTTTCTTTCTCTTCCTCTTTTTGAATGATGATGCGTCCAAATGATTGTCCCTCTCCTGAATGGGAATGAGTTTGCATCCTGTTTTTGTGTGAAAGAACTTCTTCCGAAACTCTTCCATTAGTTTCCTGGGTAATCCCCTTACGCAAGGACCCTGTCTTCTTGTCTTATGAATGGTGGATGTGTGTGTACTGTGCAAGGCAATCTATCCTTTCCTGTGCATGTCTAATTTTCGCACCTTCCACAGTGGATGCATGCATGGAGACGTATGACTCTTTTTGATTAGACGATCGTCGTCGGGATTTTGTTCGAGAATGCAAGTGTTTAGATTTGTAGCTATGATTGCACTGCGCATGCCATCTGCCTTATGCTGTCCGGCATCAGTAGCCGGCCCACGAGGCGGCCTCGAGAAACAAGGCGTCAGGAATCAACATCGTGCTGGCTATCTAAAGTTGAGCCGCGATCGGTCCCGTCAGTTGCATGCATGATTAAACTGACGAGTGTTTTTCCCCCATCTTTGGTAGAAAAGGATTGATTGAGGATTATTTCCTCTTCGTGATTGATATGTGGACTGACAAGTACCCTCCAATCGGGCGTCAGCCTCCCGTACCTCCTGTACCCACACGACCTTTTCCCTACAACGAGGAAAGGACACGTGTATGCGAGTGGGACGTACGAGAAGCTGTCCCACAGATCGGCGGGCGATACTACTTCCCCCCGGCAAACCGTTGTTCGGGGTTCGTAGAGGCTGGGTTTGTTATTATTGACACACACTTCCCACCCTACTCGATATTGCTCCCCTTTAACGAACTAATCATTATCCCATGGACGGCAATAGCGGCCCATTTGCCTCAGACCCTGTGCACAGAGTGCCAACATTTTGATCACTACGAAGCGAAGGGCTTCCACTACCGAATACGGTGTGAGGACGAGCACAAGGAGAGAGCCACGCGTCTGCGACCCTCCTCATCAAACTCAGAACTGACCAAAGAGACACGCGAAACGTGCCAAAGCCCTTCCTTTCTAAACGACGGGGCGTAGCACGGTGGGAAGCCCGACAATATTTGCATCTCTTCGCGCCTTGTCCGTGCGCGCATTCCACGACGCGCGAAAACAATCGACTTGCTTCATCGGACCAACACGGGGGATTTCAGTCCCATCTGTGTCCCCACACTCAATTTTCCAAAAATCCTTGGCACACCCCATCTTGCTGTTTTTCTGGGCCTCTTTCCGCACAGTTAACACTCCGAACGAAAGACAGCACAGGGCGTGAGGTTAGCGCGTCACAAACATGCTCTGCGATTGGAGCGGATGAAAATCAAGTAAGAGAAAAGGATTCAGTTGGTTTTTGAGAACATGGGCAAAAGGCAACCGGCTGGTGTCAGTTTCACAGGACATGAAGTTAACCATCAAGAACTGGCTGAGCTATGAAAATTTTAAAAGTCCTTTGCTCAGATGTACAATTGGCCTACCCGAACGTTTGTTTGGAATTTTTCGCTTATTAAGAGCTAGGCCACTTTTTCCCCCAGAGAGAGCGGGGTTATAGCTCTCAAGCTTTAAGGATTCAATTTGGAAAGTGATTGAAGGAACTGGGTTTTTCAGGGGACACTGGAGCCGGTTTCTAGCACGAGCCTAAGCTGGGTAATGGCCCCCATATTTCTTGTCCCTCCGGGTCGAATTGTGACGTCCCTGGCCTCTTCATTCCATTTTGAGCAATATAACCTCAACTCTCCAAAACAATAATAATAAAAAAAAGAAAGTCGCCACAGCATGCAAATCGCGACTTCAGAAACGTACTTCACATATGAACTGTTTTTTTTTTTTTTTTTTTTTTTTTTTTTTTTTTTTTTTTTTTT